AAAAAAAAAAAAAAAAGAAACATGTGTGGTGGGTTCAGCCTGAAGGCAAACCAGCTGGTCTGTGGAGGGAAAGTTCTGTGGCATTATGAGCCCAGGTGCTTCTAGCTAGCTGGGAACAGACTTTGGTGGGTGGACTACATGAATGTCAGGAAATTAACTTTAGTCTTCTCATTGTTCTGAATGCATTTTGAGTCTCTGTGACACTCACCAGTCAAAACTGCATTTTGGAAATGTGTTTTTGCATCCCACCATGTATTAAAATACTGTAGTTTGTGTATTGAAAGATCCAGTAGAAAAATATCTGCTGTTCTTACTTGTTGTGACTAGTTTGTAAGTATAAATCTATGACATTCTGTTAGGGAATAGACACACAAAAGCAAATAATTTATTACCTGCATATAGATTTTCTTCTTTGTGTCAGTAATACTAGAAACACTTGTCCAATTAAACTCAAATTGTAATAGACAGCAGACTTCTACTTACAAAATATGGCAAATTTTTATGACAATATCTAGCTCTATTAGACTAAGGATTAAATATCTTTCCCTGTCAGTAGTAAAGTATTTAGAGGGTTTAAGAAATAAAAATATAAAATCATGAACATAATCTATAAAATAAATTTACACTATGAAAATGAAGTTATGAACAGGAAGGGCAATATCTGTCAGAGCAACTCAATTATATATGTATCCAATTGTGCTGATATGTTGCTTGTACAAAAAAGCTTGTCTGAAGAACAGAGAATGGAGCTTGCCACTAGCTAACCATAGAGGTCTGGAGGTCTGTACAGACAGACAGAAACAGAAATGCCTGGGCAAAAAGAGAAAGTGAGATATTTGGGCAGAGACCAGAAGTGAGATGCCTGGGCAGAGAGAGGCTATAAGCACAAAGGAACAGGAACTCACTCTGTTTTCCAGTGGGAAGGTAATGAAGTAAAGGTGACTTTGGCTTGTTCCTTCTCTCTCTGATCTCTCAGCATTTTCCTTTATATCTGACTCCTGATTTTTATTATTTAGACCAATGAAGAACTCCATATATATATATATATACATTTTGACAAGCTAGAATATTATTTGGAATTGAAATTGAAAATTCCAGTGAAACTGGAAATTTATAAGAATATCAGAAAGCTTAAACACACACACACACACACACACACACACACACACACACACACACCCCCATATCCCATCAGAAGAGAATACCAGTTTATGGCTCAAATTCAATTAAAAACAGATACAATATAATTCACTGTGCTAATGCAGGGTGACAGTCTTGATCCCTCCTCAGTCAGCCTCTGGTTATAGAAGTTGTTTTACTTTACAGATATTCCAGCTTGTCAGGAGGTTTTAAGGAGAATGGGGACAAAGGCCAACTGCTGTGTTAACATCAAAGCTAACAACCAATGAACAACAGATGATTCAGGAAAGATATTTACCATCCCTCTGACATGATAACAGATTCCTGAAGATTCCAGGAGTAATTCTCTAAAATTTAAAAATATAAAAGATGAAAAAGTAAATAAAACCTAAAAACAAAGTTAAATTAAAACAAGAGAAAATACAGCTTTTTTCCAGAAAGGCTGTCTTAAATGTTATTACATATGCTATCAAATAATGGCTAAAAAAATGAAGAATTAGCAAAGCAGTACATCCTGTTCAAAAGTACTTGCAGCAAACAATTTCTTCTTTTTGTACCCGTGTTAATATCTTAAAACTCAGCTTCTATTTTATTCACAACTGTATCTTAAGCTGTATTGTCTGTACAATTCGTATCTGTAACAAATAAGTCATGGCAGTAAGCACTATTTAATTGGAAAAGGTGAAGTGCCATTTTTAAGTGTGACTTACTTACTCCATTGATAATTATAGTGTACTCTAGGTAGACCTGAGACAAAGAACATGTAAGAATTCTGAGCTGGCTGTTTGATAATGTCATATTTAACAACATCTAACCAATTTGTACATGCACAAATTGCTCATAGTAAACAATCAAATAACCATAATCATATATATATATATATATATATATATATATATATATATATGTATACATATATATATATTCATGTATACATATATACTGTGTGTGGAGGGGATGTATGGATATAGATCACAAATGATTTTATTATAAACTCATCTATAAACAAATTGTATGCTCCTTCATTTTACCACCATTCTTTCCTGTTAAAGAAGCACAATCCCCAAGAGATGGTTTCTTAGACAACATCTTAGTCTGGATCTCCAAGGATCTAATTGTAATTTATTTTAATATATAATTACCTAGTAACTTTTTTCTTTTCAAGGTTATAATTCTCTTTAGTTCAACAATCCTCATTTTATATTACATTCTATATCAAAAGTAATAGCAGGAATGCCAGGCCAGAAAAACATATCTAATTGACATGGGATAAAAACATGGGGAATGAGAAAAGAAGAGATGGAAGCAGTATGGATTTTAAAGTCATTTCTCCATAACATTTAATTCCTAGAAGACATAAATCTGAAATAGTTTTTTTTTTTACCAATGTAAACTAAAATCTTTAGGGAGAATAATTTCAAAATTTTGTTAAATTTCACATAGCATAGGGAAAAGAAAGAAAAATAGAGAATTAGGTAGAAAATGAATCTATGGGTATCTAGCCTAAGCCATGGTATGGCTCATTATTTGTGGACAACAAGGTTGTGATAAAGTGCACAGGATTTTGGAGTAGCAGACCTCACTACTCATATCAACATCAGCAGCTCACAGCCTTGCTTACCAACTTTATTAGAGATTCTAAACCTCAGTCATTAAAATATCATTTTAACTTTTGTGTAATGGTGGAAATTAAAGTTAAAATGTATAAATATTTTAACTAAAAACATGAATCTCTGTAAGGTTCTCAAGTTTTACTGATTCTTCACTTTTTTTCAAGGTGTGTCTTCTCATCAACTGACTGCAGATGAAGCTTCAATTCAGGGTCCATGTAAAATGTGCAGTAGGTAAGTGGAAAGATTTGGTTCTGTCCTTACATTTTTCCTAGGGTCTTTCCCCATGTAAAGACCCTAGGTCTTTATTTGACCGCCAAGGGCATGAACACTCCTGTTGTCCTGTGGCTCTCAATTCTCTTCCCTCTAGGACTAACATAGTTTTTACATTCTCCTGGAATCATCTAACTGTAGGTAGGAACACATCAACCTCTGTCAATTGATTTTCCAGGGCTGTACTTTCTGTACCTTCTTTACTATAAAAGCTCATTACTTAAAGGTTAATCAACTTTAGCCGGGCGTTGGTGGTGCACGGCTTTAATCCCAGTACTCGGGAGGCAGAAGCAGGCGGATCTCTGTGAGTTCGAGGCCAGCCTGGTCTCCAGAGCGAGTGCCAGGATAGGCTCCCAAGCTACACAGAGAAACCCTGTCTCGAAAAACCAAAAAAAAAAAAAAAAAAAAAAAAAAAGAAAAAGAAAAAAAAAAGGTTAACCAACTTTAATATATATATGTTTATGAAAAGTAGACTAGAGTTTGAGTAGGGCACATTAGAGGAAGAACAGTTAGCATTTCTGGGGCACTGTTTTTGAGACTCAGTACTGAAAACAAAGCAGAATTTTTCAAAGTGAAAGAACATATCTAAAAGTTTCAAGGAATTAATGTTGGCTATTGCCATGTTCACATGGAATTTTATAGAGATTGAGCGTGTGTATGTGCATGTATACACAAACACACATAAATAATACGAAATTGAAAGCATGCATTATAGAAATCAAGTAGGTGAACTTAAGACAATTTTAGAGCAGCTTAGAAAATGTACAAGGAAAGACAAAAATAAAATCTACATAATATTGCTATGGAGTAGGGATTAAATACACAGGTGCTAGTCACAGCCAAAGAGGCCAACTCAGCTTCTAATTACCCTTAACACATGGCCCTACTGGCCCTATATATCCTAAGAGTTTTCTTATGTATTAGATGTGTGATATAATAGAATTAATTTACATTTTTCTTTGAGAACAAATAAATAAGAAGTATGCTTTTCTCTTAAAAACATTGACACATCTTAAATACCCAATGATGATCAGTTTTCATTTTAGTCAAAATGTGTTGATTTTAATTTTAATTTTTCTTTCTCCTTTCTCCTCTTTTTCTTATTAATTTGTGTTGAAGAATTTGCTTTGAACACTGGTGCCTAGCACAGAACTTGTGTGTATGTGAGGGTGTGAGGGGTGAGTGGACATGGGGTTGCACCACTAACCAAGGAGCAATTGCAACTGACACTTGCAGGCAAAGGGAAAATCTGTTTGATCCAATAGACTCTCACTGGATATAACAACCGTACTTTTTTGAAGGCACTATAGTTAGCTAACAATAATTGAATTCTATGGTGATTTTTGGATAATTTTTTGTTTGGTTTTGGAAATTTATTATTATTATTATTACTGTCTTATTGGTCTTTTACTTGCTTGATCTGATTTTAATTTTTGTGAGGATATTTTCATTGTTTTTGTTTTTTTTAAAGAGAAACTAAAGTTAGGTGGTTAGGAATGTGGGAAAGTTCCAGGATAATTTATGGAGGGGAGAAAATAGGCAAAATATATTGTATATTCATTTAAATATAAATAAATGTAAAAACATAGTTGGCTTTGAGTTATCTGCATGTACAACCTCTCTTTTACATTGGCACCACGCACTTCTGTGATAGTTGGACTGTCAACATCCTTTGGTAAAAATTTCTACCATAAAAGAAAACAATGTTAATTGTTCCCTATGAGATTTCATTTATATGACAAAATTATTGGGCTGAGTATTCCGGTAGTTTTCTTGGTAAAAGGATTTGTTATTCATGCTCATTTGAAAAAAGAAAGACACCTCTGGCAAAAAATTATCTCACACCAGCCAAATAATTATTGGTAATTAATATCTCTGAATATCAATGGACTCAAATCTCAAATAAAAAACACAGGCTAACAGAATGGATACAAAAATAGGATACATTATTTTGCTTCATACAAGAAACATACCACAACATCAAAGAAAGGTATAACCCCAGAGTAAAGGATTAGAAAAAGATTTTCCAAACTTAGTTTAACATAGTACTTCAAGTCCTAGCAAAAGCAATAAGACAACTAAAGGAGATCAAAGGGATCCAAATCGGAAATAAAGAAATCAAAGTATAGATACTTGTAGATTATAATTTAGTATACATAAGTGACTCCAAAGCTACACAGAGAAACCCTGTCTCAAAAACCAAAAAAAAGTTGATGATATTTTCAGGAAATGCATATAATCAAAACAATGAGAACATCCTTGAGATAGAAGGGATGTGATATGGGCTCCCAGAATTAAGAACATGGATGGTGACGCAAGAATTAAGATATTGTGAAATTAGTGGTGCAATTACCACCCAGATTTTTGTCTGAAAGCTTCAGCTTGTAGAATGTATTATCCTACTATGTCAGAAATTTTAGAAATGAATTATAATTACTGAATGTGTCTGAAAGCTGTACAATCTGAAGGAATATTAACACATTATCACAACAGCAAGATGTAGACAAAATAACATCTATATTTTCCAGTTAAGAGATGGGGTCAAATAAAATTAAATATAATGACAGGGGAACCTTGTATAGATACTTTCCACACATGGGAAGTGGAACCAGAGGGCGCTGCAGGAATGAAATTTTTGAGAAGTATAAACTTCATTGATTATATGGACTGTCAGTGGAGCCTCAGTCAGAAATCACAGAAAGTGTCTGCTCCTGGCATTTCTTTGTTTAGCCATGTTTTATACAGACTCTGGGATGCCACAGTGCTCAAACAAGAAAAATAGTCAGCAAAAATGCAGCAACATTACTGAGAAGTAATGAAATTGAATTAAAACAAAACAATCAAAGCATGATAAAGGAAAATTACTCTCTCTCTCTCTCTCTCTCTCTCTCTCTATATATATATATATATATATATATATATATATATATATGCATGCTTAGGTATCCCAGGAATAAATATAATATTAACATATTTTACAAGTTTGAGTCTCTCGTAAGACTTTATTGAATTATAAAATTAATGGCTTATAAACCTATTATTGAGAAAAGTAAAACATGCACAAGCACATTTAGAGATGTTATTTAATGATCTCTTCTGAAGATGTTCACAGGAGGAACAGTTAAATGCTCTTCTAATCAAACAGAAATTCAAATGCTACATAATCATAGATCTATTAAAAATACAATGAGCTTTCCAAATGTGCCATTATTTTCACATTTAATATCCAGCCAGGAAAATAGTAGCCAGACATTGTAAAGGCTTCTTCCTTTCCATTGTATTTGAGTTAGTGACCAAATCCCTTTGGGCATGATTTCAGTTGGGGATGGAACCAGAAAGAGGAAAGTGTGAGGCTGGGCTCACTCTCTCACTCTTGGGTCACATTGGAAGGGCAGAGAAGAGCTGCAGCTGTTCTTTATTATTGTCTGTATAAGTTGTTCCCCAATAAAACACCCATTTATCATTTATCTTGGGTTTAGTGGACTCATTATCACCTGCCTTCAATTGGTGAGCCACGTGGGTGGTTGGACTTGTGGTCCAGTGCTTGGGATTCAGCACTCCCACCACTGTGGTCTAGCTGATTGGAATTCCACAAGCCAGAGTCAACTGATGCCAGCTTCACTACAAGACATGGTGCTCAGATTTGCTTGCTTATGTTTCTAAATACTTAAAGACCTAAAATTTAAATATTTCAAAGAGTCCCCCATGTCGAAGAACTAAATTTCTTTAAAATTTATCAGATTTCTGATGGGAAAATAAAATAATGTTGTCTTTAACCTAAATTATATATTCCCAATATTTGATGAGGCATAGTTTTGGAAGTATATTGAATGTTATGTCAATTGTCAATGACTAATTCAGGGACTGCAAACTATGTACAGTGAATTTATCTCCTAAAAATCAAAGGAAGTATTTATTAATAAAACAAACTTTTGTTATCATACCTTTCAAAATAGTTAAAGTATAAAAGATAAAAGAAAATATATTACATTGTCCCTGAGTATTAATATATATCTCCAGTGGAGGGAAATTTTATTTTTAAAAAATTAATGTTAATAGCAAATTTTAATTAAAGATTTAATAAAAATAATTATATATTATATGAGTCAAAAATAAGTGAATGAATATACCAAATGGATTACTATCTTTTTCCTATTGTTACTGGGTAATAAAGAATAATTGAGAAAATTAAAAAAAAATAAGCTTCTCAAGGTTCTATTCACATAAGTCTCCCTGACTATCCCCATCCAGGCCATTTCTCACACCTAGCAGACCTAGCCCAGGTCCCACAACCAATGGTAGGACAAACTGTGGCCAATTCTTCCTTGCTAAAAACAGTCACTAGGCTTCCACTAGGATCTTCACTACCTGTAACCACCCAAATGTCCCTTCAGTGCTGCATCCAAATTCTTTCTAATTAGACTGAACTCCCACCTCTTTTTCTAGGATCTAGCCCAATATATAAGCTCCGCATCCATGCCTTTCCCTAACCAGCCAGCTCTAGTCCATGTTCCAAATCATATGACCCATCCTTGTTTGGTTACTCTCTGTCTGTACCACAATTTGCATCTAATTATCTGCCAACAAATATCCTATCAGCAACAAGAACCTGATCCCTTCTGAACCATACCCAATATTCCCACCAAGCTATATCTCCCACATCCTTCTGCAAAGCATAGCATTGTGAATTTTCCTGACCTGCCCCATCTACAAACCTACCCTACCTATCTTATCTAGCTCAGGACTTATAGCCAGTGCCCTAGCCTAGTCTGATCTCCTTTGGTTGTTCCATCACATATCTCCAGTCCTCAACAATGAGGCTCCCTACCATTTTCCAAACAACAGCCCTTTCTATACCACATCCAACATTTCTACCCAGCCATATCTAACCTCATACATGGACCAGGAGATAATACATTCTGTACACCAAATGCAGTCACTCTGTCCACCTGACATAATTCTACTGAAGCCATTTCTACCATCTATGCCCAACATACTTATGTATACCTTTTTCTGCTCTGATCTACCTTGCCTATTTCAGATACACAACTAATATTTGTAAACAGAACACATAAATACATCAAAAAGATTATCTGCAATGGTCAAATTTTCTCTATTCCTGAAATGCAGGAATATTTTAACATACACAAGTCAATAAATGTAATAAACCATATAAACAGACTTAAAAGCAAAAAAGTACATGATTATCTCATTAGATGTAGGGAAGTTCTTTAGGTAATATCCAACATGACTTCATGATAATAAATGTGTGGCTTGTTGGAACATGCCATCAAGTATTAAAAGCTATATATGAGAAATACACAACCAAAAATCCTAAGTAGAAAATGCTTGATGGAGTCTCAGTGAGGTCAGGTTCAAACAAAGACACTCACTATTTCCATTCCTTTTCTATATAGTTCCCAAAGTACTGGGTGAAGCCAAGAGAAGAGATAGAAATTAAATGGATATAAATAGGGAAAGAAAAATCAAACTGTTCATATGCAGATGACATGATACAATAATTAAAAATCCCAAAAGTTATACTAGAAAACTTCTAGAAATTGTTAATAAATTCTGTAGCAGGCTTTTTCTTTTGAATCACCAACCAGTTCCTAAATCATGAGAGAGAAACTTATTATTAGGTATGAAAATTTGGCCATAGCTTAGCCTTGCTTCCTGCTAGCGCTTATAACTTAAGCTTTTTCTCTGCATCTACATTTTGCCTCAGGGCCTTTTACATTTACTTCTTTCTGTATGTCCAACTTTCACTGATTCTCATGCCTGACTTATGGCCCTGAGCTGTACCTCTCTTTCTTCATTCTCCACAACCTTTTCTCTTCTCTGTATTTCTCTTCTTTTTGTTATCTTTGCCTACCAGCCCTGACTATCTCTCTACTTTCTAGGTATTGGCTGTTCAGCTTTTCATTAAGCCAATCAGGTTCCTTAGTCAGTCAAGGTGAAACAAATGCAACATGTCCTTATATAATTAAACAAAAACAGTTCAAACAAATGCAACACATCTTTATATCATTAACAAAGGCTGCAGAAACAAATGTAATACACCTTCACACATTTAAAGCAATATTCTCCAGCATAAAAATGAAACTGTAACACATCTTTGCCTACTGGCAGTGTCATATTGAAAAATTCAGTATCTTTCCTATACATAAACAACAAGCATAAAGATAAGGAGATTCTGGATACACTCCCATTACTAATAGCTCTAATGAAAACAAAGAAAACTCTTGGAAAAGACCTAATCAAAGAAGTGAAAGACCACTGCAATGAAAATATTAAACAACTGAAGAACTAGGTTTAAAAACAAACAAAAAACAAAACTAGAAATTAGAATAAAACCTCAAATTAATGGATTGGTAGGATTAATACTATAAAAAAGATCACTTTAGTAAAAGTTACTAAAAATTAAATTAAATTTCACTCAAAAACTTCATGTCATTATACACAGACACACATGGAACCACAAAAAACCCAGGATAGTCAAAATTAACCATGTGCAAACAGAATAATTCTGAAGTGATTATGCTCACAGATCTTAGGATATATTACAGAGTTACAGTAACAAAATATTGTTTGGCACAGAAGAAGACACATAGACCAATAGGAGAAAGTCAAAGACAAAACCATTAGCAGATACAATAACAACCATGTAATATTTGACAAAGAAACCAAAAACATAATTTGGAGAAAAAAAAGCATTTTTAATAAATGATGCTGAGAAAACTAGATCTACATAACAGAAAAACAATTCCAAATGAATCAGACTTCTAAATATAAAGTAAGAAACACTGAAGCTGCTAGAAAAAAATCAAAGGCACCTACCTGATACAGATGTAGAAGGTACTTTCTGAATGTAGGACTTCATTTGCCTAAAAATTGAGATTAATAATGGACAAGTTGTATTTCATAAAATTAAAGGTTTATATCCAACAAAAGTGACAAACAGGTGGATAAGATGTCCACAAAAAGTGAGAGAATATATGACATCTCTATATCTGAGGGGGGATTAATATCCAGGATATACAGAGAACTCTTTCAAAGGAGAAGAAAATACCTAGGAATATTCCAAAGATATTTACTATCTTTATCTAATAAAGGAATGAAAATCAAAATAAATTTTATATTCATCTATCCCCAATCAAAATGGCAAAGATCAACAGAACATCTCACAACTGCTAGGGAGGGTGTCAGGAGAAGGGGACTCTCTTTTACTGTTGGTGGGGTTGCAAACTGGTATAGCCACTGTGGAAATATGTGTAGAGAACCCTCAAAGTGCTACAAAATCTACAGTGATAGCAGTCCTTGGCATAGTCCCAAAGTACTTCCTATCCTAGCACATAGATACTTGCTCAGCCATATTCATTATTTCTCCATTAGTAATAACTCTAGGGAATGGAAATGGCCTAATTTTCTACCAGTGCATGAACAGATATGAAAATGTGGTACATATGGAATATTATTCAGTTATAATTAAAAATGAAATAATGAACTTTGTCAGTAAATAGATGGAACTAGAAAGATCACATTAAGAGAGGTAACACATGTAGGGCCATTTACTCTTTAATTAGAGGCTCCCAGAACCCAAATCTTCAAATGTGATTCCATATTTTGGATTAACTTCAGAAACTAGGAAAGGAAAAGGAACTATTACCGTTAATCCAAGAGGCAAAGACCACCGAAAAAAGCCCAGCACCATGCACAACAGATCTGGTTTCACCAAAAGACTCCTCAAATATACAGGGTATTGCCATTGCTTTGGTTGAAAGTGAGAGATGGATGGTAAATCAGTATTGTTGGTAACACCTTGCATCTCTGACATATTCCTATATATATCTTCCAGAGGTCCTGAGTTCAATTCCCAGCATCTCTGACATATTCCTATATATATATTCCTACTTAAGTCTACAATGTTTTAGGAAATACATTTTTTTCTGTAAGTTGAACAAATAGTTTGTAGTCCTCTGGTCTGTGGACCTGTAATGATGGCCACACATCTTTGGGTGTGGTTTCAGACGTACAAAAGTGGAAAGAGAGGAGCTTGAGTCGAGGTTTTAAATATTGTAACATAAAGCATATAACTGGTATACCACAATCCTACAGGACAAGCAGTTGTTGAGAGATCTAATTTCACTTTAAAGGAAATAAATGCTCTATAAACAGGTGGGGGAACAAAGACCTCAAACACAAATTACATAATGCTTTACTAATATTAAACTTTCTTTTTTAGAATGATTTTATTTATTATGTATACAACATTCTGCTCCCATGTATATCTGCACACCAGTAGAGGGCACAAGATCTCATAATGGATGGTTGTGAACTACCATGTGGTTGCTGGGAATTGAACTCAGGACCTCTGGAAGATCAGTCGGTGCTCTTAACCTCTGAGCCATCTCTCTAACTCCCCAACATTAAACTTTCTTAATGGTATTGAGAAAGGAATAACAGCCACAGAAAGACATTGGATAATAGAAAAACATTTTGAACTAAATCATCTGGTGTACTTTAAGGATGTATTGACCACAGTATGGAAACCAGGATATGAGTTATATTGGGGTAGGGATTTCACATTTGTTTCTACAGGAGAAGAAAACTTTGGATAACCTCAAAGTTGATCAAGATCCAATTTGAACAAGAGAAACCTCTTGATGAGTAGAAATGATATGTCATTCACCAAGGTATATCCCACCAGTTGTTTGGAGACCTCACAAAGGTAAGGAGAGTGTTTTGTTCTTGTCTTAACAGGAAAACAGAAAACACTCATCTTCAAGAAGCCAAAAAGAAACACAAACATGTAGATGCCTAAAGAAGAAAGGATAGTTATCCAGAAAGAACCATCAAATAAAGAAGCCATATGAGTAAGGAACATCACAAGATCACAGAATTGAATCACCAGAGCTCATGGGGACAGTCAGAGAATTAGCATGGGACTGACCTAGGTATTTTTTTTTTTTAATGTAAGTTACAGTTGTGTAAGTTACTGTTCTTGTGGGGATCCTAACAGTGGGAACAGTGCTCTCTCTTGTAGCATGAATTCTAGTTGGTATTAATAATAAAATCCCAGAGTCAGATATTGGAGTTAAAACTGAAGATCAAAGAAGAAAAGTGGCCAGCCATTGGAAAGTCCTCACCTTTACCAATGCTCACACTGAAAGGGGCAGTCCTGTCTTTAGATTGCATCTCCAGACTGCATCTGTCTCCATCATACCTCAGACTGCATTGAGCTCCTGTCTCCTCTAGCCTTATATTCCTCTCTAGTGCAGGGATTAAAGGTATGGGATGCCAAGTGCTGAGACCACCTTTGTGTGAGCACTGTTTGTTTGCTTAGTGGTGTTTACAAAGTCCTGGTAGGATCATCACTGTGGGGGTTCTATCTCCTTTTTGGAGATTTCTTTCCTTGGTAATTTTTCCTGGGTAGATCTTCCTTCTTCTTTGGCATCTTATTTGCTAAAATACCTTTAAATTCTTTAATTAGGTTGTTTTTTGTTATCTGAAAAGACAGAAAAGGAAACCCTTCCCCAACCCTAACTTTGGGGAGGTTCCTATTCTAATCTTTATCAGTTTTGATTTATGAGTTCTGATGACATTTTTGTTTTATTTTCCAAAGTTCTTCTATCATCCAGAGCAGTATGAGTTTTGACAATAGGCATTAAGTCTCTAGGGATAATTATATTGCAAATTGACTACTAGTTTAACATCTGCTTCAGAAATGGTGAGTGTGTGCTATATGAATTTCCTTAAATCTAACATTGCCACAGGAGTCCAATCAGCTATTACAGAGCCTATATCATTTTGCATTTCCTATAATGTTACTGGATGTATTAAGGTTTGTTGTATGAAAACCTTAGACTGTTCCTCTCTAACCTTATAATGCAATGCTGAAATTAGTTCTTCTTTAAATTCTTCTCTCTGGTTTTAAATATCTCCATTATCTGTTACGTTAAATTTTTCTAAACCTTGTATCTTGCCACTCATACCAAATAGATTTTTAAGAGCTAAACAATAATTACCAAAATGACAACAAGGATTATCAAAGTGATAAATAACAGCATGTCAATTCCAATTAAGTTATTATCCCTTTATTTAATGGTACCATTTTAAAATCATGCACTGTGTAATCATACAGAGACATAACTTTTTCTATTGTAATTTTGTTTCCCATTTTTTTTTGCCAAGAGAACAAGACTTTATTGAACTTTAATGCACAAAATCAAATTGCTAACTGACATTAGGAAAAAAAAGGACTTTAAACATTAGCATTAAGTTGACCCAGGGGATTGGCCAGGTGGTTCAACCAGGACCCTGGTTCAAATCTCAGCCCCCACATCCAGGAGATTCTGGATTCTGCATGCTCATGCTGCAGATGCCATACACTAACAACTGTAACAGGAACTGAAGACTTTTCAGGGACAGGTGCTCCCAGGGGTGTTTCCCATTTTTTAATGTGGGAAAAAATCTCTGTCCTTTAACTATTTCCTCCCTGTAAGAGGAGTAATTTTCTCATCAAATCTGACAATGATGACAATGAAGATATGATGATGAGTGCTGCTGCTTTGAACAGTAAAAGCATTACCAAATTTCAAGGCAGCTACCTTTATTACAAGAAGAGGTTAAGAAGAGGTTAAGATTAACAAGTAGAAGAAAAATAATTTCTCTTGGGTAAATTAAGAAACTAGCTTATTTAACATCAAGGTTGATACTTCTAAAATTTTAGGATTAAAACACAAAAGCCTTGAAATAACTTATACAGATCCTTTTCTAATAAGTACTAATAAATTACAATGTTTTGGTCACAGAACTGTAGCTTGGCCACAGCTGGTTGGCCACTATTGTCTGTGTTCTTTTATGACTAGGTTTCTGGATGAATGGTTAGTAGAGGAACAAAATTAGTGACCTGTGTCTAGAACTACAGAGACACATAGAAAAGTGATAACAGGTCACCTACAAATGGAAGGCAGCAACATCAAACCCCCTAAGTTTTAGCTCTTTGCAATATCTGGAAAAAGCTGCATTTCCTGCTAGATTACATAAATACTTTGTTTTTAATACTATAAGTCTTAGAAGAACATATCCACAACATTTCAACATCTTCTGTATGTAAAATAGTTACATGAAATAATAAACCTGTATAACTAGCAAGTTTCAAAATGGTCTTATGCTATTTCATAATAGAAATGATAAATTTCTAAGCATTTGTGTTTTATTTTTTGTATAGAAAATTAATACTTGCATGAATCAACTTTAAAGTTGGTGCATCAGAGCTGGGCAGTGGTGGCACACACATTTAATTACAGCACTCAGGAGGACGAGGCAGGCAGATCTCTGTGAGTTCGAGACCAGCCTGGTCTACAAGAGCTAGTTCCAGGACAGCATGCCCTCCAAAGCCAGAGAGAAACCCCATCTTGAAAAAAAAAACTGTGACATCAGAGCATGTTTGCTTTTAAGTTCCTTAGCTATGAAAGAATTTAAAACATTAGGGATATAATTCCAGCCAAAGAGCTGAACAACTTAAAAATTGAATCTTTTTTATTCTTTAATTACTACTCATATTTACATATCTATTCCCCCTATTCCCTTGCCCTCCCATGCTCTCATGTTCCCCACCAACCCCCTAACCCACCCCCCAACTCCTCCCCAGGGATAGTGAGGCTCTCGACTGGGGACCTTCAAATTCTGCCATATCATTGGGGGGGGTGACTAGGACCTCCATGCTGTATCTGGGCTGCCATAGTATCCCTCCATAGGGAATGGGCTCCCAAAGTCCATTTGTGCTCTAGGGCTAAAGACTGGCCCCACTTTTTGAGGTCCCATAGACTGTCTTGGCCTGTTAGCTGGCACCAACATTCAGAGAGCTTGGTTTCATCCAATGCTGTTTTCCCAGGTTTATGACTAGGGTCTCCCTGCTATCAACAGGTCAGATCCACTGTTTCTGCGGCTTTCTCCAGTCCCATCTTGGCTCCTTTGCTCATCCCTCTTCCTAATCCAGAATGGATTCCATTAGTATGGTTCAGTGCTTAGCTGTGGGTGTCTGTTTCTGCTTTGATCAGTTACTGGATGAAGGCTCTAGGAATGGTAACCAAGGTAGACAAAAATCTCATTATAGGGGAAGGGCATAAATGGCATCCTCTCCTGGATGCCTGGATTCTTAGTTGGGGTCATCCTTGTGAATCCCCTAACATTTTCCCTATGCCAGACCTCTCTCCAAACCTGTACTGTCTCTCTCTATTAAGGCATCTCCTTTCTTGCCCTTCTCTATTCCTCCTGCCTCAGTCCTCTTGTTCTTCTCCTCCCTCCCCTTCTTCCTTTACCACTTCCTTCCTCCCTCTGCCCCCCCCAACCACTCCCACTTTGGTCAGGGTTACTTGTCCCCATCCCCTTCTTCGAGGGACTATGCAATCTTCTATTGGGGGTCCTCATTGTTTCCTAGCTCCTCTGGCAGTGTGGATTATAGACTGGTAATCCTTTGCTCTATGTCTAAAAATCATATATGAGTGAGTACATACCATGTTTATCTTTTTGTGACTGGGTTAACTCACTCAGGATGGTTTCTTCTAGTTTCATCCATTTGCCTGCAAATTTCAAGATTCCATTGTTTTTTCTGGTGAGTAGTACTCCATTGTGTAAATGTACCATGTTTTCTCTATCCATTCTTCAGTTGATGGGCATCTTGGTTGCTTCCAGGTTCTGGCTATTACAAATAATGCTGTTATGAACATAGTTGAACATATGTCCTTAATGTATGAGTGTGCATTCTTTGGGTATATGTCCAAGAGTGGAATTGCTGGATCTTGAGATAGAATGATTCCCATTTTCCTGAGGGATTGCCATACTGATTTCCAAAGTGGTTGTACAAGTTTGCACTCCTACTTGAAATGGAAGAGACTTCCTCTTTCTCCACATCATACCCAGCATCGATTATCATTGGTGTTATTGATTTTAGGCATTCTGACAGGAGTAAGATGGTATCTCAGAGTAGTTTTGAGTTACATTTCCCCAATGGCTAAGAATGTTGAGCACTTTCTCAAGTGTCTTTCTGCCATTTTGGATTGCTCTGTTGAGAATTCTGTATTTAGTTCTGCACTCCAATTTTTAATTTCATTGTTTGGTGTTTTGGTGGCTAGCTTCTTGAGTTCATTAAAAATTGAATCTTAACATGAATTTTATTTATTTAGCTTCCAAATAACATATAAAGCTGTACAATAAGTCTATAACTTCAAAACTTATGACATCTGTTTAATTAAAACAATAATGTGTGAATACGTATCTCTTCAAGAGCTTCTTGTGAATTATTTTTGGTGTGAAGTATGCAGTTTTTTTTTACATTTTGATTTTTTCTTAGTTCAAATAAGAAACAAGCTTGTTTAACATGTTATTCTCTTCTCCCTCTCCCTCCCCTCACTCCCAGCACTCCTCCCCGCCCCCAACCTACACCCCTTCCCCACCCAACTTCCACTTCCCAGGCAGTGTAGGGCCCTCAACGGAGGCTCTGCAAAGTCCACCACATCATCCTGGGCCTGGCCTAGGTCTACCTCAAGATCCATCAATTCCTCTCTTGGGCATATACCCAAATAATGCACGTTCATACAACACAAGGACATATGTTCAACCATGTTCATAGCAGCATTGTTTGTAATATCCAGAACTTGAAAGCAACCTAGATACCCCCCCCAAATGAAGAATGGATAGAGAAAATGTGGTACATTTATACAATGGAGTACTACTTAGCAGAAAAAAGCAATGGAATCTTGAAATTTGCAGGCAAATGGATGGAACTAGAAGAAACCATCCTGAGTGAGGTAACCCAGTCACAAAAAAGACAAACATGGTATATACTCACTCCTATACAAATTTTAGATATAGAGCAAAGGATTACAAGCCTACAATCCTCTTCACCAAAGAAACTAGGAAACATGAAGGGCTCTAAGGGAAAAATGCAGGGACCCCTGGAATGGGAAGTGGCAGGAACTCCTGAGCTAATTGGGAGCATGAGGGTAGGGGAGGGGGAGCTGCCAGAATGTGAGGAGGAGAAGAGGAGAGGAGATGAGGAAATGGAGGGGCAGAAATATTGAGTTGGGGGAAGAATAGAGGAGAGCAGGATGAGAGATATCATATTAGAGGGAGCCACTATAGGTCCGAGGAGAGACTTGGCACTAGAGAGATTTCCAGAGACCTACAAGGATGACACGAACTGACAATCCAGGCAATGGTGGAGCGGGTAACCTAAACACTCTTCCCCTACAATGAGATTGATGACTACTTTTTATGCCAGCCTAGAGCCCTCATCCAGTGGCTGATGGAAGCAGGGCAGACATCCCCAGATATACACTGAACTGAACTCTTGAACCCAGTTGCAGAGAGGGAGGAATGAAGAACAAAGGGGTCAGGACCAGGCTGGTGAAACCACAGAAACAGCTGGCCTGAACAAGGGGGAGCACATGGACCCCAGACTGCTGTCTGGGAGGCCAGTACAAGACTGATCCAGACCTCTGAATATGGATGTCAATGAGGAGGCCTCTGCACTCTAGGGGGCCCCTGGTAGTGGATTAGTATTTTTCCCTGGTGTAAGAAGGGACTTTGAGAGCCCATCCCACATGAAAGGATGCACTCTTGGTCTTGTGAATTATTTTATTTGTTTCAAATTGTTTTGAAATTAAATCAAGAACAGATAAGCAATTTAAACAAACTTATAACCACTAAGGAAGTAGAAGAAGTCATCAAAAGTCTCCCAATCAAAAAAACAAAAACAAAACAAAACAAAACAAAACAAAAAAACAAAGCCCCAGATGTTGTCAGGGCAGAATTCTATTAGAAATTCAAAGAAGAGCTAATACCAGTATTCCTCAAACTGTTCCACACAATAGAAGCAGAAGGGTCATTGCCAAACTCTTGTTTACAAGGCTACAATTGCCTTGGTACCCAAGCCACACAAAAACACAATTAAGAAAGAGAACTACAGACCAATCTCCCTCACGAACA